TTATTTCTTATTAAAATTATAAATTTTTATATAGAGAGAAAATTTCAATTTTCATTATGTTTTATTAGTAAATTTAGTTTCTGAGTTATTACTTTTAATTATCACTATAAGTATTATTAATATTATATCTGTGAAAAATTTTAAGAAAGTTTATTATTAATAAAAGAAAATTATAAAAATTCATTATAAAATAGAAAAATATATTTCATCTTAATTTAGATTATTATTTATTAAATATATATTCATTAAGTTATAGTTAATATAAATATATAATTATGTTAATATAATTATATATTTTCAAATAATTATATATAGTAAGATATTATTTTTATATAATAAAAACTTGCTTTTAATATTAATTAATTAATTGAATCATATATATAATGTATATCTTGAAATATATATTATAATTCTTTGTTAAATTTTCTAATATTCTTCATAAGTTCATTAAGAATATATAGAGAACTTATTATAAATATGTTTTTTAATACAGAAAAGTTATTTAAGAATATTATATTTGATATAAATTATTATTATTATTTTAAGAGAAAATGTATAATTAATATAAGCTAGTTATTAAATCTATTTCTAATATCTTGAGTGAAATAAATTATTTAAAGAGATTAAGATTATAAAAGTAAGATTATAAAAGTAATATTAGATAGTTATTATTAATATTAAATATTTATTTTTGACTTAAAAGTCACATGAAGCATTTATGTCATGTGATCGATAAAGTGGGAACCTAAATTCGAACATCTCATGAAAAGACAGGCGACATGGCGGCCTCTTCGACCGCGGTCGTAGAGCTTGGCTTTGCCGAGCCACCCGCACATCCATTAACTTCTGAAAAGTTTCCCAGCAAAATCGGCGGGAGGCCGGTAGGTAAGCTACAACCGAGAAATATCTAATTTTTAAAAGATCTATACGTTATTCAACATGTAGACTATTTTATTCAACTTGTAGGCATGGTTAAACCCTCAGCATATTTTGTCAGCAGATAAAGTAGAATGTGGCGTATGTAAAAAACCCATGGTATTATTGTTACAGGTAATTTAATTAATTGATTTTTGGAGTTAAAAATCTGATCGATTCAAAAAAATATCATTATTTTGCTACGCTCTTTTTTGGTAAAAGCTTTATGCGCCGGAAGATTATCCACCTGAAGCATTTCACCGAATGATTTATGTTTTTTGTTGCAAGAATGGTTCTTGTCATAAATTATCTTGGAGAGAAAGGTGTAGTTTCATTATTTATATTGTAGCACGCAGATTCTGTTATTTTGTGCGATATAGCAAATAAATATATTTATTTGAATATTGATAGCTTTAAAGTATACCGTAGCCAGCTTTCAAGGGACAATCCATATTGGTCAGCATCACCATCAGCTTCAAGCAAAGAGCTCGAAGACCCGAATCAAAAAATTGCTAATGAATCATCACCAGATAAACAATTGTCAAACAGAAATCGGGAAAAGTTGCAATATGATGATCTAAAGCAAATTCATCAAAAATTACAAAAATTAGATATCAGCAAATCCAAAGCAGGTAGAATTCAATTTATTCAATTATATATATCAATTATTGGTTATCCATTGCTCTATAATTTTATTCTAGCCATTCAATGCATTGTTTGCGGTCTTCTCGGGTTTAAAACCTGTGGGAAGTGTAACATCGTGCGATATTGTTCAAAAGCTCATCAAATTGAACATTGGATAACAGGACAGCATAAGACACATTGCAGTAGTATGAATTTGTCATCTATGTCGACAGAAAATGATGACAAATTGTGTCAGAATGCGATTTTGTTTCCAGAGTACGAGATTGTAAATGAATCTGAAACAAATGAGGATGATGAAGATGAGAATAGGGAAAATGAGAATTCACGTATGTCGCTTACTATTCTTAAATCCATTTTTCTTTGATAATGCTTTGTATAAATATATCATGGATTTAGAAGAGGTTAGCAATTCTCGAGCTCTCGTTCCTACTGGGGATGAAATTTATGAGGAATCACAGGTAAACGTAGATAAAGCTTTTTTGAAATTTCAAAAAAAGCTGGAATTTAATCCTGATCAGGTGCTGAGGTAATGATTGTAATCACAAACTGACTTTATATCCCGAAATAGAATTACATTAATAATATTTTAATAGATATGCACGAGTTGAATATGAAGTCGACAGAAATCCTGATCCTTTATGGGTCAGTGATCACGAAAAACCGGATTTACAGCGAGATATACCTGCTTGTCCTTATTGTAGTAACCCGCGTACTTTTGAATTTCAGGTGAATTATTATAAAATTAACATTTTATAATAATTGAACAGCATAATATTAATTTTTTTCATTTTTTTATATATTATCTTAGATACTTTCTACCCTATTAAATTACCTGAAGATTGATCACACGAAACGAGATTCTCTCGATTGGGGTACATTATTAATTTATAGTTGCAAAGAAAATTGTCATATAAATGATGAAAAAAATAATCATTATTTAGAGGAATTTATTTGGCGTCAAGATTTTTCAGAGGAGGGAGTTAGGCTGGATCGAACACAAAAAGAATAGAGTTAGTAATTTTGTTGCTTCGATAAATAAGTATTATTTATCATTGTCGAGAAGACATTTACTGTAAATTCCGCTATTTTTGAAATAATAAAACAATGATCGGCATCATTGGATCAAATAACAAATTGTCACTACGCCAAATAGTCACACATTAATTTTTCTTGATGCGTTAATATAAAAAAAGGGATTGACTCAAAAACTAGGCCCGTTGAAAAAGTACGTTTTAAACTTTTAAGCAAGGTACGTTTGGGGGTTTAGAAGGTTAGAACAATTATCTCCGTATATAAATAACGAAAAATTTTTCTCGATTGAAGTGAATTAATAAATAGCAATTGTAAATAATTTCTATTTAATACGTATAGGTAAAACGAATAAAGAGCGTTGCCATTTGGAAGAAGGTGGTCCTTATTTTTCCAAATTTTATTAAATTCTCTAAACACGGGCAACAATGGAGCGGGATCGAGTACCCGATCACCGGAAAAATACGTTCAAAACCAAAGGTATTTTTAAGGCAGAGGAATTAAGAAGGAGACGTGAAGAGCAACAAGTTGAAATTAGACGAAAACACAGAGAGGAATCGTTGGCTAAACGACGAAATCTAAATATTTCCGGCGTTGTTGCTTCTGATTCGGAAGATGAAGTGCAAGTAGCGGCTGCTAATGCTCAGCTACAAGAACAGTTACCAGGAATGCTGGAAGGTGTAATGTCAACTAATGTTGAGGCGCAACTTGCAGCCACCACGAAATTCCGAAAATTATTGTCAAAGGAAAAGAATCCACCGATTCAGCAAGTGATCGAGTCTGGCGTTATTCCTCGCTTTGTCGAATTCTTGAAGTCACCTCATACTCTTATTCAATTTGAAGCTGCTTGGGCTCTTACTAACATCGCATCCGGCTCACCGGAACAAACGAAAGTTGTGATTGATTCCGGAGCTGTTCCGATCTTTGTCCAATTGTTAGAAAGCCCAGTTGCTGATGTGAAAGAGCAAGCCGTCTGGGCGCTGGGAAATATTGCCGGCGATAGTCCTCCATGTCGTGATTATGTCTTACGTGAGGGAGCTCTCCGTCCTTTACTTCGTATATTGCACGAAAATCATAAGCTCTCCTTGTTGCGTAATGCAACTTGGACCTTGTCTAACTTTTGCCGTGGAAAGAATCCGCAACCTGATTGGCAACTAGTTTCTCCCGCGTTGCCGATACTTGCCAGACTTATCTACTCTGTTGATGAGGAAGTATTGATTGATGCTTGCTGGGCTTTGTCTTACTTATCGGATGGACAGAATGAAAGAATTCAATCTGTTATTGAAGCTGGTGTTTGCCGTCGTTTAGTTGAGCTCTTGATGCACCCATCACTTTCTGTACAAACACCGGCATTGCGGTCAGTTGGTAATATTGTCACCGGCGATGATGTTCAAACTCAAGTTATTATCAATTGTGGTGCGCTTCCGGCTTTATTATCCTTATTGTCGAGTCATAAGGAAGGTCTTCGCAAAGAAGCTTGCTGGACGATTTCCAATATCACTGCCGGTAATAGTGAGCAAATTCAAGCAGTCATGGATGCCGGTATTATTCCTCCGCTTGTTCATATATTGGAAACCGCCGATTTAAAGACACGAAAAGAAGCTTGTTGGGCTATTTCCAATGCAACTTCTGGCGGTTTGAATAAACCACAAATCATCAAATTCCTCGTCAGTCAACGATGCATTAAACCGCTTTGTGATCTATTAACTTGCATGGACAATAAAATCATTCAAGTTGCTCTCGATGGACTTGAGAATATCTTAAAAGTCGGCGAAACGGAAAAAGGTGAAGACGGAAATCCATACGCCTTATATATAGAGGAAATCGGTGGCATGGAAAAAATTCATAATCTTCAAATCCACGAAAATACGGACATATATAAAAAAGCATATAATATTATTGATACATACTTTGGCGATGAAGATGAAGAAGACGCGAATTTGGTACCACAAATGGATATGTCGACTGGTCAGTTCTCGTTCGGAAATAATGTCAATGCTCCTCCCGGTGGTTTTAACTTTGGTGGTGGGCAATCAATGTAATTGATTGGTTTGTGGTTTGGTTATAAAATATATCAAATATTGTATCACTTTTTTCGCTTGTTTATCCTTGATATACCCTTTTTTAAACCCTATACCCTTTTTTTAAACCCTATACCCTTTTTTTGTTTTTTATAATTATATTATTGTAAAGTTGGATCAAATGATACATATAATACATATAATGCTTCAACATTTTATACTTTGGTTTCATATACAGTTTGGTTGAATATTTTTTAATGAATAACCGGTTCCCGAAAAAAAGGAAGATGATCATTGTTTTCATCGTTAAGATGAAGACTTAATGTCCTGATATTTGATAATTTTATTTGATATTAAATATAACTTGTAATTTGATTATTTTAAAAATTATGAAAAACTTTTCATTAGCATAAAAAAAATAAATTACCCAATTAGAAATAATTAATTATTATACTCATACATCAACGGAAGATGTGTTTGTTACTATCCTACTAAAATGATTAACAACCTCTTCCCAAATCTCCCATAAATTCAAAACCCATCCGGTAGTAACCAACAAGAGGAGGACAAATAAGATGAACAGTTGCGCATCAAATAGATTGAATTCGCTGGTTTTGTTGAGCGTTTTGGAGTTGGATAATGATTTATAACGGGTTTCGAGTGCTTGACACGATTGTTCAATCTAAGGAAAAATTTAGACGTCACATTTTTTGCTTAAAGATTTGGTGATACGATTTAATTTGTATTACCTGTCCACATGCAATACTAATCTTTAAAAAATTTGGATCTCGTGAATTGTTCTTTGTGATGATTACTCGGGTGTAATGACGAAAAATATCAATTACATTCAATATATTTGTCGCTTTTTGAATCAACTAGCGAAAAAGTAATGAATTAATTAACGAAAATAATATCAAAGATTTATTAATAAAAGATAAAATCGCCAACTAATTCACCCACCTTTAAAGTTTCCCCTTTTCGAATCTTTACATTTTTCTGATAAACCTGGTAATTTTGAAAAAGAATCGCCAAAGTAGCAATAGCCATCACCTGAGGAATAGCACAGAAGTTAAAAATTTTTTGATCACGTATATTACTCAAATACGTCAAACAATCGGGCGCGCGTTGTAACGCATCCAGACACATTCTCGATAGACAGTTGATTGCTTGTTTTTTGTGCTCGGGGTCTTTGAGATCGCTTAGGTCGTTGACGTATTGCGACCAGATTTCTTTTGGCCAAAAACGTCGATTGTCATCCAAGTCTTCGAGGTAATCTCGGATAATGTTTGCTTTTTGGAGGAATAAACCCATTGAAATTGATCTAATTTTGTGTTCGGTGATATTTTTAAAACTTTCATCATAAAAAAAGATGTCGATTATTGACTTACAATTTCGTGTTCCTTCCTACTTCGGGACTCTCGAGACCACTAGCACTAAATAAGCTACTTAGACCTAATCCAACCAATCCAGCCACATAAAAGCAATATTGATCGTAGTCTTTTACCGTGTTCACACCGAACTTGTTATGTGCAGCGTTTGTTGCGTAGTCGGCCATTCCATTACCCATTTGCTTGGCAATATCAAAAATTATTTCTTTATAACTATTGAATAACCTATTATTATTTATTCTACTGTAAAGTGATTTATAATAATCAAGGGAACTTACGTTTTATTGAGATTCTTTAACTCTTCGATGACAACTGGATATTCTACCAATAACTGACGGTCTTTTTCATTTGGTCCATCTAAATTTTCAAATATAATTCATTTTATTTTTTCTTTTTTTTTAAAAAAAAAAAGGAAAATGATCAAACATACTTTCTGTGAAATTCCATCCATCCGTGACAATAATCTCTTCCCAACTTCTCAGTATAGAAACTTTTTTCTCGATTGGAATTGTCATATCATCCTCAATAGTATCCAGTCCACGTAGAACAAGGTAGAATAAGCAAACCTTTTATCAATTTAACAAACCATGAACATTATTCATAAGCATAATTATCTATATAAAAATAATATACACACACACCGCATCTCTCAACTCATCATTTAATTCTTGTATAACAGCCGCAAAAGATCGCGACGTCATATTAAGAAACTCGTAACATCGTATTTTGCTTTTACTCCAAGATGCTATTTTTTTCGTGTTAGTCAGAATAGATGACGATGACGATCGATTAAAATTGTATTGGAGTAATGCGATAACTTCTGTCGGATGAAATGCGGAATCGATCAATGCTTTTGCCATATCTTTAATTTATTGTTTAGCCTTGTTTTCGGACTTTAATTTTTTATCTCTAAAAATCCTTGGTAAGAATAAATAAAGGGTTCTTCAAATTATCATAACCCGAAAATCACGGATAATAATGTCTAACTAGAATAAGGGATCAGAACGATGATTGATCAAAATCGCTAATATTTCATACAGTGAATTAATTAATAATGTGCGCGTAAACAAGCACGCGTACTCATTATTAGACGGACGATCATTTAATAAAAAATTTTCGTTGGGGGCAACGACTTTCTGGGCGTACAAAACCTATCATGTGTTATTTGGTGCTTCATTTATCATATGAAAGTGAAAATAATATTTGTGGAGAATAAAAAATTTTGGGCGGGAACAAAATATAACCAAATATTTTTGTACATGAGGTTTGAAAAATTTGACACGATGACGAAATTTTTATATTATGTATTAGCACAGCAGCAGTTGTCATGACGCAAATGAAAATTTTTTAGTTAATTTATTCCAGAAATGGGAATTCGAGGTCTAAACGTCTACATTAGTAACCAAAACCTGGGAACACCAGTATCTTGGACACGTGGCGCCACATGCACTAGCACAGAGTCCATTTCACAAATAAAAATTTGTATACCTAAGAATAATCTTGGGGAAAAGCAGCAATATTTTGTATTTGATGGGAATGCATTTATTTATCATGTTTATAATGAGAAACTGAATTGGATTTTTGGTGGTAAATGTCAATTGATTTTTATCATGGAGTCAACGCTTGATTTATAATTGATCCATTTCCATTAATTAAATCGGGTAACTAAAGGTCAATACACAACATTCGCAAATTCCCTAAAATCACACACAAAAACAACACATGACTATCAGATTCATCAAACATACCTATTCGACGGTCCACTTCCACTTCTGAAACAAAAAACGCGTGTATCTCGATTCCGCGATAGAATCGAGAAATGCAAAAATCTTTGTCAACTCAAAAGACTCTTTAAATCGAGTTCAACCTATTTCAACAACAAAGATGCATTCTTGCTCCCGCCATTGGCACTTGAAGTCGCCATACAGATACTTCGAAAGATTTTGGATGTTAAAGTGGAGGTATGTGCCGGTGAAGCAGACAACAGTGTTGCTAGGATTGTGAGATCGGTGGGTGGTTACGCGATTGGTAATGATTCGGATTATTTTGTGTACGATTTACGTGGGGAATGTGATGGCAGAAGTGGCGGTGGATATATTCCAATGAATACTTTACAAATTCCAAGAAACGATAAATTAACGAATAACGAGAGAATTTTTGCGACTGTTTATCATACAAAAGATATCGCCACACATTTCAACATGCCAGTATCTTTATTACCACTCCTTGGAACATTAATCGGAAACGATTATACAGAATCAAATCAAATTGCCGGGTTACCAGATCGTAATGACATTAAAGAAATTGCCAAATTTCTCTCACAATACAAACATAACAGCATTGACCAAATTATAGATAGTTTACTCACAAACGGGCGATCACTTTCCACCGGCGATGATGTTGAATTGACTCGGAAGATGCGTGAAAATCTCCACGGATCTGTCCGACAATATTGCTCCACAGCTGATTCCACGAACGACAACTACAAGTCATTACCACCATATTTTTACGACGCTTTCAAATCAGGACGCGTCAGTCACATGCTAATGGACGTGGTCTGTAATCGAACATTTTGGTGTACACCATTTTTTGAGGATCAGAGTAAAGAAAGTGCGTGGATTCTGAGTCGTCCTGTTAGAAGATGGACTTATGCTATTTTGGATATGATAATCATTGGAGACGATAGAGATAAATTATTGGACCAGGAATCCAGCACAGTAATTGAATATATAAGACACAAAAATCATTTAGCATATGAGACAATAAAGATAACATCTCACGAGGAGATTTTCAAGTTCTTTAAAGAGAGCAATAATTTGCCATTATCAAAATTCGATGATTTAATTTCAATACCAAAAGAAATTCGCGCCAAGCTATTTTTCCATATTCTAAATTCAGATATTCCAGAAATATACAATCTTTCTTTATTTTCTTACTCATCTTCATGTTTTCACCAATTTCTCGCTGCATCACTCCGTTATCTCGTACACAATCTCTCACTTTCATCATCATCACCAAAAAAAATTACCAACCAAGAAGTTTACGCATTTATCTCATCATCAATATTCATCTCTTTTCTAGACAAAGCATCCAATCGAACCAATCACCCATTCAATTCTGACTACAGTTACAAATATGATGATTGGATGAATATAATACATCTCACCTCGCAATACCAACATTTGATACACTCCGCATGGATGCTCGCGCAATCGCTTTCTCTAGATGATTTCGTGGATGGTGTCTCGTTGTGTCACTTGTACGATGGATGTACATTCCATTACTTTTATCAAGAGATTGGAAATGTGATAAAGATGAAAGTGATGGAGAATGAGCGTCGTGATGACTTTGTTGTAGATAGTTCGAGTGTTATGAGACTTGTATTTGAAGCTACTGTTCAAGAGTTTTGTACGGATTCATTTGAAAATGGGAAAGATGAGACAGAATTACTTTTACAGGAATTTATACAAGTTTGTCGAATTGTAGAGGAAGGGCTTGTCGATGAAATTTCTTTCATGAAAATGACTAATGATGATATCAAGAAACAAAAGAATCGCAGCACTAGTAATTTTCGAATTGGTACGAATAATCCTTACGATATTTTGGCGGATTACAATCATTAATCATGAACAATGGCTTGTTTTCTTTAAAAATTTTTAAGTATTTAAATTATAGGTAGGAGCCTAAAATAAAGATATTGAAATACAAGTGAATTTGATCGCCTACTGCTTAACTTCGCCGAGTCTAAATTAGAGATTTATTGCTACGCTGCTGCTGTTATTATAATCCAAATCTTGACCAGAAGTTATTAGATAGTGAACAACGCCGAGCTCAATCCCATCGCAAACATACCCAAAAAGAAGAAAATATTGACCAACGTCCCGCCCGACGTGTCGTTTTTGATTGCTTGTGGCAACATACCCTGTAGATAATGATATAATCGTGGCATGTTAACATTTTTGGTTTACATGAAAATATTCGACGATCGCTGATGATTAATAAACACACCTGTATAACAATAACAGTCATCAATCCACTCACACAGGCAAACAATCCGCCATACACTGCATTCACATCCCAATGTTCCAAATAACTCTCACGAATAAATGCCCAACCGAGGAGCGCACCAAACGGTTGGCTCAACCCACCCAACAGGCTCGCATACAGGAAACTTTTTATTCGTGATTTGGTGGCCATGTATAGCGGCAGTGCGATTGTGAAACCTTCGGAGATGTTGTGTATTGCGATCGCCAAGAATAATGCGAATCCTAGTGATGGGGATGCTTGTGATGTTATGAACGTTATTAAACCCTCTAAAATTGAACATTGAAAAGGAATGGATTAATTTTTGAATAAAAACTCAGAAACTTATAAATGCAAGTAAAATTGAAAAGAACCTGGAAATTTGTGTATAGAGATCGCGAGAGCTGATTGTATTCCAATCTTCATCAATTCTTCCGCATCTTTTTGTTGATCTTTAGAGAATTGTGGAAAATGATGAAGTCCATGATTATGAACATGTCCGTGATTATGAACATGTCCGTGATTATGAACATGTCCATGACTATATAGACTTCCCGAGTAATCGTTATTATTATCATCTTCAATGGCAAGAGAATGTTGACCACAGCCAATACCATCATTCTCATCATTATCACCACGATAAACATAATTTACACTTTCTTTATTCTTAAGTGAATGGTCATGAATCTTCGGCAATAGTGGTGATCTCTCAGTATTTTCCGGTAAATTTGATTCAGAAGTTATTGATTGTGAGTTAGCCTTCTGATGTGGTGGTGGTGGTGGTGGTGGTGGTTGGTCTGTGTCCATTGATGTCGCAAGTGTAGATGATTTAACAGGAGGCGGGGGAGGAAGAGTATAATGATGATGATGATGGTGATGATGACCAATCTTTAATATTTCATCTCCATGAATCTCATTGGCAATATAATGGTGAATCACACGATTAATTAAAGTAGATCCGAGCACACCCAGGAAATAGAATGTGATGATATAGAATCCTGAGTACTCGCTAACTAAAGGCGATGCATCCGAATACACTTTGGCTTCCGGTAGTAGACTGTAGAGACTAGAGAATAACTACATTATTTGTACCGGATGATGAACGAGAATAATAATGAAATTAATACGATACCTATAAAATAAGACGTAGAATTATCAGTGAAATGCAAACCAAAACTCCTGATCCAAGTGACAAAGAGGCAACCAAGAAACTTGTGTTTTGCACGATTCGTTGAGTGCGAGAGAACCGTTGTAGGATCAGATCTGAAAACACCACCGAAGCTATAGATTCAAATTGCAAAAAAATGAAAAAAGACAAATAAATAATTAAGGGAGAAAATTTAAAAATATGAATTTTTTTAGAGATTAAATTTCTTGTTTAGCTTACCCCCCAAGCAGCAAGCTAACCCGGACGCGATAGACAATACCCACCCTTGTAGGTTATTATCGTAGTCTCTTGGCTCGCTGGGTGATGTTAATGTTGTCGGTGGGTGGTGTAATGTATACATTGTTTTATTATTATACTGTTATTTTTTATGATTGATTATTTATTATTAGTTGATTTTCTTTGGATTATTTAGGTTCAATGAATAATATGAAATTATTATTTATTATAAAAACGTTATCTGTAAAAAATTTCACGAGACCTGGTGAAGGATTGTGAGGATATTTTCATTGCTACTCACTTAAATAATTTAAGAAAAAAAAAAGAAAAAAGGGAACAAGAGAAAAGCGGATAAAGTAATTAGAATGATATTCAAATTACAATAATAAATTACGTTACATGTTTTCTGTGATCACCTTTAAGGTACTCTCGATTTTTTTTATAGCTTAGACTTGTGTTATGAAATGAAAAGGTGTACCTTAAAGGTTGTCATTTTTTTTTATTTATTTATTTACAATAAAACAAAAAACGAGTCATTTAACAAATGATTGATGATGATTTAATTGCATATGGGATGCGTAACGAGTGCATGAGATTCCGTTGAAAGATATTAGTTACGCACGTCCCATTCCGGTATCGTGGTGAATTATGATAATGAGATTTTATTTGTTTGAATACGCGTGCACTTTTTTTATTACAAAGAAACAAATTTGAAAACTATACAAATTACCAAATCAACGCGCGCTTGATGTTTTAAAAAAACGCCCAAAATTTCTTTCTTTCGATTCTCGATTTCTTTTCTCATGACCTCATTACCTGGCTGAATAATGCGATGAAAAAAAAACATAAATAAAATATATATATAATTAACAAAGGATATTTTAGACTCTCTGAATGCGTGATACACAGTAAAATGATGGCTCTTTAGCTATTGAAAGAGTTGTTATAAATTTAAATCGTATCGATCACTCTGAAACAAGAGAAAGAAAAGAGAACAATTCGTTTTTCTATTCGATGATACTTTGCTTTAATAACAATAAATAAATAAATGTATATATATATATATATATATTCTATTATTTTATAAATGAGTACCTTACAAGTTATTCTCGAAGTTAGTACAACTTATGGCTATTGATTGACGGATGATCATTTTCCTGTTTAAATTATCAAAAATACCGTATTCTTCCGGGAATAAAAGCGCCACTTGGATCTTGACACAGCTTGTACTCCAAAATGAGAGCGATGCTTATTTCCGGTAGTATTTAGCTGGTGTTGGCCATCGCTTCAAATTAGTTTTATTACAAAATTTGGAGGGCAATAAAAGTTTATTGTTTCCTCTTCGGAACCTTCGATCCATAGACTTGGAAAGTTTTTTTGACAATCAGTCGTCGGCTTGTTCCAATTTCAATTATTTTTTCATATTGTTTGAACACAAAATTCACTAAAAAGGAAATTTTATTCAGACAAAGAAACGATTAGAGCAAACTGGGGGGGGGGGGGGGGTTTGAGGAAACACAAGACATTCTACAATTCATTTCTTTTGCACGCCTCCGAAAGAATGCAGAGATATAATTTTTGTGGGGCGAAGCGAGATACCATGTCGTGTATTCTTAATTTCCGAATAGAAAGAATCTTTGAATAATAAAAATAGTGTATGGAATTCTTTGAATGTCATGTTAACTTCTTTTGTCAAGATGCATGAGCATGTGCTCAGTTACATACGTAAGTGCATTTGTGATAATTAAAAAGGAAATCGCTTCATTTAACAATTGAATAAATAAATTACAAATAAAACAAGAATAATGACATGAATTAATAATAAAAAGTGTTCATCTCACAAAAACAAATAATAGATTATGCTATGCTTATAGTCCGCCGTTTTAATGCTGGAGATGTTATATCGAGGGCAGGATCAAATTCTTTGACCCAGCACTCTGGATATGATTTTTCACCATTAGCAATCACTTCATTAATTTCCATATATCGTTCTGCATAGACATGGTGTCCCGAATTCGGAAGAATAAATACTAAATAAAAATGAAAAAAATTAGAAAAATTAATTCTGGCGTTGTCACGGGACGTGATCCAGTTGCTAAATTCCATTGGCTGGTTTAGAATAAATACCCTTAACATTCGGCAACAAATTCTTCCCCTTAACTTCAAAAAGACTAAATGTCGGATCCATCCAATCATTTTCACCATACACAACTTGCACCGGTAACTCACCCAACAAATGTAGCTTATCTTTCAACGGTAAATGCCATCCTTTTAATGGGGCAAGCAGTCGTTTGAATACCGCTTCCCCCGAGATTGGCGTTTGCACCGCTAAATTGTAGAAATAATGGATGGCTGTTTTGTCTTCATATGGGAATGCCCCAAGTAAATCAGATCTAGCATTTGACATGAAAGAGATCATGCGTTCGCGCGGCAACATGCTAATTATGCGTTGCGGTGTTAAACTCCACGCGGAAGATATTAAGAGTTGTTGAGCAAATGAAATGTGTAAGTTGTTTGGTACGGTGAATCCTTGTAAACCTAAATTTTTTAAAGGAACGAATAACGAGGTAAACGAAACAGGCATTTCTTTTTTCGTAAAACTAAGGATTTAATTTTGAAAATTACAAAATACCTATTGGTGAAATTAACACAAGTTTATCGAGATGTTGACGGTATTTTAATGCGTAGGATGCAGATATAAATCCACCCATTGAATGTCCCACTAGTGTGAATTTTTCAATTCCCATTGCCATCCTCCAAGCTTCCAAGCTCTCAACCCACCATTCTTGAGCTTTTTTAGGATCATCACCACCACAATATCTTGGTCTTGAACTTCGTCCCCATCCCAATAAATCTATAGCGTGAACTTGATATTTCTGTTTTTGATCATAGAATATTATATGAATTGGATGTTATATGAATCTCATAATGGTCAACATCATCATGATACAATACCTGAGCTAAATCATCAAAAGATTGTACAAAAATTCCTTTGCCAGCTCCCCCTAAAAAAAAATAAGAACTTGAATAAAGTAACATAAAAAATCCACGAAAAAAAGAATAATACTCACAGCCATGTACAAGCACGCAAACAGGTTTCTTATTTTCACAAACAGTTGACACGGTGCTAATTTCAAAGGTCTTTGCTTTCGTTTCTCCTAATTCAACTGCTTTATTAACAAGAAATTTTCTCGGTATACTAACCATTCGAAACTCCAAAGGAGTCTGAACAAAACGTAACATTTCACGTTCAGCGTCTTCAAGCAACGCAGCCTTCTTATTAGCGCGTTTTTGTGCCATTTGTTGTTTCTTTTTTAGTTCAATATAAAATTGGTTTCGAAGTAAAATTTGTTTCTTGCGCAAAGTGAGTGATAATGGAATGCGACGAAGAAAGGTAGTAACTTTTGCTAATGATTCGATAGTAGTGGTGGTGGATAATGTAGAAGATGTGAAATATGAAACGAGAAATGTGTGTGGTGCTTGTGGGAGGTATCGCGATATTAGTTGTGTCGCCGAGGTGACAATGTGCTGACGCATTTAATCAAACATAAATTTTTTTGTGTAGTGGGAATTTATATAATTTTTTAACCATTCATTGAAACCGATTATTTTTACTTGAAATAGTTAAATTCATTTAATTCAACAATGAGGTAACAAATATCGATATAACGATTAAACCCATTGCCATAAGATTAATCCGATATCGGAATTCAATTGAAGCGATTTATGCCAAACTGCTAATTATAGCTTATTATTTCTTTATATAGAAATATGTCGAACATTCACGGAATCAAATTGACGTGTGCGATAGGGCACTTTTGCCAATAACAATGGTTTCACATGCTCATGTACATCAAAATACTTTAATAAAAAACGTTTGAGAACCAGGAGTTTTCTTATTTAATTGTTAATTGATAAACAAACGATTATTAATAATGTTTTGGAGATATTGGTCAGACGCGCTACTTTCCACGCTACAAGAAAAACATGTTATTGTCACCGGAGCGGCCGAAGGATTAGGTAAGAAAAAAAAAAAATATTTGACACTCGATTATCCCTATTCCAAAACAAAACAATTATCTAATCAATTTTTTGATGACATCATCGACGTTTTTAACGCAACAGGCGAACAATTTGCGTATTTTCTCTCCGCAAATCAAGTATCGCACTTGGTAATCGCAGATCGAACAACCGATCTTCTAGTACAAGTATCAAAACGATGCATTGAACTCGGATGTCAAAATGTAAAACATATAACATTTGACGCGGGAAATGAACAGGAGTGTTCATTCTTAATTACGGAATCCGTGAAATTTTTCCCTGATGGCACGATCGACATGTTAATTCTAAATCACGCAGAAAGCGTCTTTGAACATATTGATTTCAATGCGCCACCAACAGAGACGATTGCCACCCTTTGTCGAGTAACTCAAGTAAATTATTTTGGATACGCGGCGTTGGCACATCATGCTCTGCCATATATGACAAATGACTTGACTACTACGATAGTTTCGTCAGAGTCCCCATTAACCATCACGGTCACCACCACACGAAAAACTAATATTATTGTGGTTTCTTCGCTTGCTTCGTTATTATCTGTCCAGAGAACTCATGTTTATGCGGCAAGTAAAAGTGCCATCAATCAATATTTTATTAGGTTACGTGACGAATTACGATTTCAAGGGTTAGCGAAAAACTGTCGAATTACTATTTGTATTTTGGGTCCTATCGGAACTCAGAATTTTTATCGAACAGTCAGGAACCCTAAACTACTCAGTCAGGCTGCGGACCCGAAAGCAACAGTCGTGACAATTGTAACGAGATCTTTATATGGTGATGATTGGGTTTATTATCCACGTTTCGTTGGTTATGCTACGTGGTTGGCCGGTTTCGTGCCAGAATTCATGAGCCGATTGGCAAATCGGTTATACTCATAATGTAAAATTTAACAAACATCCCGTGTGTATATATAATTCTTTATAAAGAGAACGATCTCATCAGCATTCTATTTATTAGAATTTCCAAAAAGATGGCTTTTAGACAAGCAAATCTTTAAATAATATGACAATTTCAGATAATTTACCAAAAAAAATTGATTGTTCTAATAATGCTGAATATATAAAATCCGAGAAACTTCACGTATCTCTTCAAACACATAAATATTCAAAAAATGTTTTCTTTGGCAACTTAATGCGTAATTTCGCATTGTCAAGTCCACCACCTGTTTCATCCATGAACCCTGGATGGCAAACGAAGGTAAGACGACGTCCCTCTTCAGTATCACTACCTATAGAATACAAATCAAGTAAATTAAATAAATGTTCGTTCATGAGATAATCATATGGACAAATTGTATATTGTAATTGCTTACTAAATGAGTTTAATGCATAATATCGACACATCGTATGCACCACCCAACGTGAAAACTTATCGTCAATATCCCAAACTAAAAAGTTTCCTTGAAGTGTAAGCGCGGGAGGCTCATGGGCTTCATTCGATCTTGAATGTTTAATACTAGACATTTTGACAATGTCCTGTTCTTTTTCAATGATTACCACATCATGTTCTGTATCCACCTCGTTAGAGGACAACTTTCCTTCCTTAACTTCATCGATATGAATCCATTCATCCTGACAGCCAGAAGTGTCGGACGACGAATGAATAGTAGTGGTGGCAGTAGCAATAACTTGCCCAGAAACGTCGTTTTCCTTCTCTTCATCACCGCCTTTCTTGATGTTAACTTGACCCCCCAAGAAAGAAATCAACTCACTCTCGTACTTTTTGACTAATTTCCTTGGATGATTTTTCTTCAAACGCTTACGCATCTCGCGAGTTACAGTTGGGTGGCCATTGTTATCGTCACTTTGACGAGGATGTTTTTTGGGATTACTGCTGTTGAGATCGATTTTACGATCCGCTAAAGCCATGCATAGATGGTCAACAACCGCGTCGTAAACAAAATGAAATGTGGCCAATTCGTTCTCGTAGCCGGGGTGAACGAGGTCCGCAGGGTCGAGAACTGCGAGCGGGTGATACGTAAAATTGTCTGGTGCATGTGTGAATTATATTGATGATTTGTAGTGGGATTGATGATAAAGTTTCACAAGAGGAGATATAAAGATCTTTGAAATCCTATCCACATACAACATATACTTCGAAGCTATATTAAATAAAATACAACTTGAAAATGCATCAAATCCCAAGCTTGTGAAGGGAAAAAAGCATGCAAGCTCAAGTTGTACTTATCCATAGCTTCATAAAAATAAAGCATAATTAAAGATTTGTCCCGCTCGACTAATCTTATAATTCTCTGTCTTTATTTGTAATATTCTTTCACTTAAACGACCTTTGCTCTAAAGGTTGTCGTGTATTTATAAAAGCTCTACCAATAAATAGTAAGCTATCGTGAGACGACAAACTTACTATTATCATGTCGATTTCGACGTCTGCTTCCATCTTTTCCCGGAGAATCTCGATTCACTAAAGAATCACGTTGAAACAAGTACTTGCGTTTCTTTGAACGTTTTGGTTTATTGTTAATATTATCGGCGTCTTTTTCAGGTAGATTGCTATCGCCGACAGGTAACTCAACAACGGGTTGAGGCTTGTTGAATGCTGCGGAAAGAGTGGGAGTAGAAGTTTGCTGTTGCTGCTCGGCAAGTTGTTTAATAGTAGCCATGTTGGAAAGAGATAAGGATTCTTTAAATAAATTAAAAATCAAAAGTTTGGTTGACGTTTTGTTAAACTTTCAAAGGAAATTGAAGAAGCTTTCGCTGGGATCAATTAATTTTTGTGAAGCGGACAATGAATCAACCACGTAAAATGTTATTTAACGAATCTGCAGCCCAATTAGGAATCACGTTTTCACACGTTCCGCAATAATACTAATCACCAGAATAAACACGCGAAAATCTAATGAACGGTTATTGGTTTTTCGATTTACAAAATTGAACCTTAAAACTCGGTTGAGATAATATCTCAACTGGGGCACTCCTTGAATGTGTGCCAGGTTACGTTGAATATGTTGTTTAAAGTAAGTGGCACGGGTGGCACAAACCAATAAAAATGTGTAGTTTTTTGATCAACCCAACAAACAACAAAAATGAAAAAAAATATACGGAAAACGAATGCTTAAATCTGGCTTGGCGCATTACGAGAAGATAATTTTACGTATAATCCCTAACCCTGACCTTAACCTTGCTCCCAAATCAATCTTTAATGTTTATTTCGAATTTTGCCAGATCGGCGTCCTTACAAAGTACTCACATTTTTGTATGTAATTAAATCTGATAGTTTCTGGAAAAATATCTTGGATGCTGTATATTCTTTCTTTCATTGGTAGCATGACAACAATTGTATAAATATGCCATAGTCGAGATAATTGTCATCTGATGGATCGGAACTGATGGGTTGGGAAAATCTACAATATCAGATGGCCCGAACTTTTAGACGTCTTCCCATCCTTCGTATAGGAGATCATCCTGTCATTTTCCCTTCTTTTTTTCTCATATCCCTCAATTCATCGATTGAACGCTTAAAACCATGATTTGCCGCTTGTTGGTAATGCTTCTTTGCTTCCAGTTCCTCTCTGATAATAATCACCGAGTAAATGTCGGGCAGCTAAATTCCCATTCTCCGCGGACTTTTTACAATACTCGAATGCTAGTTCTTTATTTATTGGTTCTTCATCACTAGTGTTTCACGCATAAAATTTCGCGAGTGCTAATTGTGCACATGCGATTCCTGCATCAGCCGATTTCTTATACCAAAGAGAACTTTATTGATATCCATTATTTCATAGTCGCGTTCATAAAGGTAACCCAAGTATCCCAATTTCTGATCTATAACAAAAGGCAGTCAAATTAGGATATTGTGTCGAATACCTTTCCTGGGTTACAAGTTTAAAAAATTTATCGGACGAGATAACTTTTTGTCATCAAATACTCTTCAATCTTTTCTCAAAATTATATCATCATCTGTCCTACTCAAAAATCAATCATTAACTTCAGCGATTATTTTATCGTGAAAATCATTATCTTCGCCATCTTTAATATCTTTTCTTTATTATCTTTAACTTTAATCAATAAATAGTTAGATGACTTGTGATTTATTAAATTTCCTGTACCATTAAATCCAGTTCCAAACGAACTAGAATTAAACTCCAAAAGCCACTATCGCGAGAATAACTAGCATTTAAGTTCATCGATATAGAAAAGCGTCGGATGTTCCTGTAATTGGAGATTCACGCATGCCCATTACAATATTATATGTTATTGCTGATGGATTGCTATCTGTCATTGGCGGTCGACCACTAGACTATTCCCATAATACTACTCCAAGACTATAAATATCGGATCTTGCATCGGGCCAGTAGTTTCCCTTAAAACACAGTGGTTCGATGTATAGCGGATGTCCGTAGACAACAAACATCGAGTTCATACCATCAGGTTCTACTCTTTTAGATAATCCAAGTTCCGCAATTTTTATTACATGGTTGTGGACAAGAATATTCTAATAAATGAGGTTTCATTAGACGCCAGTTACTTTTTTTAATAAATTTATTTTTTTTAAAAAAAAAACTAACCAAATCTCGATGAATAATGATGAAGATACATGAGACCACTAGCAATTTGTTTGGCCAATTCTAATTTATGCTTTCCAGTCAATAAGTTAAAATTCTTGTTCAGATAACTCCGAAGTGACCCACCGTCGGCATATTCAAGAACAAAAATATGGTGGAAATTCTCGAAATACCTTTCGTTATGTAGTACATTAGGTGACATTGTCATATCATGCAATAGTTAAGTATTAAAATAAAATATCATGTTTTATAACGTACCTCTTTATTAACCATTTCGCGGTAAATTTTATTATCAGCAGTGGAATTTTGTAGGTTTTTTATACTTTTCACAGCGAAATTCAGAGTTAGAGAAAAATTTGCTTTCCATTCGGCGCGCTATACTTTGCCAAAACCTCCTTCGCCAAGAGGCTCGCAAATCTTGAATCAAATAATATTGGAACATACTTTGCACGTGACAAAAATTCACTTTGAACTTCCCCAATATTATGATTCCAATTCCAAATGGTATTTTATTCAAGGCCGTCAACTTATGTTGCTAACTTGTAACTGATCAAGCAATTTCTCGTTTTGTTCACCTCTCCGCGGCAAGCTCGATTCACTAGTTACCTAAGTCCTCCGTCTACACTGAATTTTACCTGAGGAATGATTCGCCTAAAATATCAGTTAGAACACGCGAAATTAAAAAAATCGATTTTTCTCATATATATTAATTAAATTTTATTATATCTTGAATTATAATGTGTGATAAAACAAAAAATGATGTTGAGCTAATAGATCAAGAGGATGATGTAAAGGAATAAACTAGAAAGGATAGATCAGTTGTTTAAAAAAAGATTACAAGCATCCACAGAATGGCAAGTGTCATTTCAGAAATGCAAAAAATATGAAGAAAATAATTCGGATAGAATCCCTTCAAATATATGTACAGAAAGATTGTATTTTCAAATTAATTAAATTTTGAAACTTGGTAAAATGACTAATATCACGGAAATGAAGCCCTTAAAGAAGCCTCCCAAAATCTCAAACTAAAAAACTCGTAATTGTTCGTTACAATTTTTGAGGTTAGCAAATAAATGTAGAACCAAATACCAATGTGAATTGACAATAAAATGGCGATAAAAGTTATGCGTAATAATTATTGGATTTTGGCTAATTAATCTTTATGTTGTCGATGTCATATCACTAAAATCACAAACTCTTTCGCCTGTTAGCAATAATGAATACATTTACGGATTAACCCGAGACTTCTGTGTAAAGACCACATGCATGGTTTCTAATTTTTAAACATATCGATATAAAATATCCTTAATCTTTAAAATTTATCAACTTGATAATCAGAACTTTCGGATTCAAAAGAATGCGTAGTTATAAAGCAATCCATAAACCATTAGTATTTTTTTAATTTTCTTTAATTATTAGAAAAACTTTGATGGGGAATTTAAAACTAAATACACTACAAAATATGATGTTACTAAATGAAAAAAAATTCTAGCCCTATTACGCTCCAGACTTTTTCTTTATTTAGATGCTTAAAAAATGAATTTCTTTCAGTATCTCTCTTTAATAATTCTTCTCTTGGCATTCGTTCCATTTTCAAAATCGCAAATCTACCGTCACATAATGGGCCAGGATTAATGATCATTGTTCGGCCGATGTGTGTCAGACCAAAAGGATAATGGGAGTGACCATGAATATTAACAGTTATCACTTTGTTTTTTGATTGCAGGTCATCGCTGGATGGCGTAAGAGAAGTAAGCAATGAACGAAGAGCGGGGCTATAAATTTAAAGTAGTATGATGCAAAAATTAAAAAAGAATTACATCCCTTTTCACGAAAGAATCTAATCAAAGACTTGCCTTCCAGATTCAATTCGAGTTTTTTCTTCTTCTCCGGGGAACTTATTTACATCCGCAGTTGCAGTTACACTTGGTCCGAAATGAGTTACTAACAAAACATCATTATCAAATGGTACTTTAGATAGCAAAACTGGTAGATTTTCGGCGGCAGATTGTTCCGTGTTGCTTGGATATGCTAGTAATTCATGCAACTTGATAAATAAAAAAGCAATGAAAGCGATCGATTATAATGATTCAAATCATATTTTTTACCAGGCCAGCTAACTTGATCCGGTGAATGTTTATAAACACCGTCAACAGAACCACCAAAACCAATCATACTTAGTCCCTCTCCTTCAATTAAATAACAATTAAATCGTATCCAATAGAGACTGACCTTCAAAAGATTATATCATGTTTTACCTAATTCAATTATTTTTTGATGAAAATTCTGTCCTCTCAATGATTCACCCGATTGATTAAAAGCTCTGGTCGGATCATGATTTCCTGCATTGTTTAAATTTTATTAAATTCGAGACAACAAAAGATTGTTTTTAATTAGTGAATCTTTTACCAGGAATATAATAAAATCGTTTCTCATATTTGGCCAGAGCAGAGATTACATCACGATATTCTTGCTCGTCCTTAATTAAGAAAGAAAATACGTGAAATTTTACTCAGGAATTACTTCTATCTATTATATTCATCGGACCTTTTCCGTAGGTTTAGTATCCGGTGTCACGTAATCAGTGTTGACTAGATCTCCGGAGGCAATAACATAATCAATACTATATCAAAGAGTAAATTCTATCAGCCCAATAATGAAACAAATAAAATACTTTCTTGATTTCCACTCACTCAGTAATTCGATTATGATCAATAAGCCATTTATGAAGTTTTTCGATGATATCAAATCGTGAATGAATATCCGAAACAAGCAAGAATGTTTTCATTATCATCGAAGAATCCCACAAGCTTGACGCAGTAAAAATGATTTTCAGGGAAAAATGCTTTGTACGGTTGATTGATTTGCGTTCGTTTTTTTAAAAATTTTTTTGTCCCACATAAGATTAAAATTGGTAATATGGCTAATAAATACAGTATAATTAAAAGTTTAAACATTATCGCCTGATATTTCCGTCATCACTTACGTAATTGATGTATGGCGTGAAAGATCAAAATTTTTAGATTTTGAAGTATCGGTATATAAATCCTCTGGCTACTAAGAATCAGTTCTCTCAACATCAACATGACTATTAAAGTTGGTATCAATGGGTAATGTATCTATAAAGTAAATTTTTACCTTTAGTTTTTGTTTGCATTCTCTTCTTGACATTTGCTTTTGTTTGCACTCCTTAGTTTCGGTCGTATTGGCCGCCTCGTTCTTCGTGCTGCTTTGAAAAATAAAGAAGTCGAAGTTATTGCAGTGAACGACCCTTTTCTGAACCTCGATTATATGGTAATGCATGAATGATAAATTTTCAAAAATACATATTGAACATATTGTGACAAACGTATCATTTCTTAGGTTTACTTGTTCAAATACGACTCTACTCATGGCCGATATCCCGGTGAAGTTAGCGCTGACAAAAACGAGAATAAGTTGATTATTGACGGTCACGCAATGTCTGTCCATGCCCAAATGGAACCAGAAAATATTCCTTGGAAACAAGAAGGAGTTGAATATGTCATAGACTCGACAGGTGTTAACCTTACACAAAAGGCTGGTAAAAGACATCTTGAGAGTAAGAATGGTGCTAAAAAGGTTCGTATTGTGTTTGGTACTCGATATTCCATATTTGGTACCAATCAGTGAAATAATACTTTTCTCAAAAATTAACTACTTATTAGGTTATTTTGACCGCACCTCCTAAGGATGATGAAACAAAGATGTTTGTTTGTGGTGTAAATTTGGATGCTTATAAGCCTGAAGACAAGGTTATATCCAATGCTTCGTGCACGACTAACTGTTTGGCCCCGCTTGCTAAAGCAATTCATGATAAATACGGTATTATTGAAGGATTGATGACTACAGTTCACTCTATCACTGCAACTCAAAAGACCGTGGATGGTTTCGGCGGTGCAAAGGTTTGATTAAATTGAACGCCTTATTTTTATGCTCGAAGTAATGAATTAATTTATCCCGATCAATGACTTTAGGATATGCGAGGTGGCAGAGGTGCAGGTCAAAATATTATTCCTAGCACTACAGGCGCCGCTGCTGCTGTCGGAAAAGTTCGTAGCTATGTTTTACATTTATTCTAATGAATAAAATCCAAAATAGCAATAACACTCCTATGCTTTAGGTCATTCCCTCCTTGAACGGAAAACTCACTGGTATGGCTTTCCGAGTACCTACAGCTGATGTTTCCGTTGTGGATTTGACAGTTCGATTGGAAAAACCGGCAGCCAGTTACAATGAGATCAAAGCTCATATCAAAGAACTTTCTCAAACACCTCAATACAAGGGAATCATTGGCTACACTGAAGATATGGTATTTATATTTGTGTAATTTATTGCAAATAATTCACACTTTATCTAATAAAAAATTTTTCAGGTTGTCTCCTCTGACTTTATTGGTGATACTCATTCATCCATTTTCGATGCTGCTGCGGGTAGATAATCGTTATTATTATTATTATTATTATTATTTAAGATGAGAATATTAATTTTAATTATTGTATTGTTTTTTCCAGGTATTGCATTGAACCCAAATTTTGTTAAACTTGTTGCTTGGTATGATAATGAATGTAAGTAATTTTTTTTTAATTTATTAAGCTTAAAAGATGATTGAGATTGTTTTTCTCACTTTTTTTTCATTTTAATTGTATAGATGGCTACTCAAACCGAGTTGTCGACTTGTTGGTCCATGTCGCAAAAGTTGATGCAGAAGCAGCTAAATAACAAAGCGAAAATTACACTCAAAGAAATCAATGTTAAATAAATCTTTTTAAACCATCATGATTTTTTAAGTTAATGTTTTAAAGGGGATTATGGGACAAACTGAAGAGTGATAAAGGAAATGTGATGTCATTTTACAAAAATCCAGAATCTTACTCTGTCGATTGAATGCTTAAAACTAAGACCTGCTGCTTATTGATAGTAAATTCCTTGCTCCAATATTTTTCCGTTCCAAATCTGTATAATAAAAGTTTCGAAAAACGATGCTAAAATTCAATGGCTGACTTATGAAAATAAACATGAAGAGTGTTACGAAAAAAATCCCATATCGATTAACCCCTGGTTTCTATACTCATTTTAAAGCTAATAAACTAAAAAAATTGTCTAATAAATACATTATTATTCCCATTTTAGGAAAATTAAGTGATCCATACGAATATTTTAATTAGTGAAATGAAATTTTAATTCCAAATATTTTCAACACCAATTCGTTATGTTCCAAAGTTTCTAAATTATGTTAGCAAAAAATTCAGTTATTCTTTTTTGCTAACATAATCTAGAAACTTTGGAACATAACGAATTGGTAACATAATTTAGAACTTTGGAACATAACGAATTGTGTTGAAAATTGGTATATAGGAATAATAAAATAACATTAGAATCCGGATAATCCGGATTGAATTACCATGATGAATTCTAATAATAGAAATCTACGTCTCGTACTCTTTAAATACCACAATAAAATAAATACATATTGCTTTATATTCAAAGTGTTAGAATATTGACTACTTGAATTTCATTAATATCACAAAAAAAATACTTCTTTGCTAAGCTATTATACTTTTATTGCAATGGAAAGCTCAAATTCACATAGTTCTAACACACCAGCCTTGGACATTCTGCAACTATTAGGAGTCGAAGACCAAGAATCCTTTATGAATATTAATAAAGATTCACCCGCCACTTCATCAAAACATCATATTAACAACAAGGATACTACAACTGGAAGCACGGGAAGTAAAGACAAGAATAAAGATAATAATATAATAACCAATGACAAAACTAATCAAAAAGATTTTCCAAGTTTATCCTTTATTCAACAACAAAAATTGACAAATACAACATTAACAAATTCATTATCAATAACACCACAAACAAACATACCAGCAGCAACTGAAATAATTACAATAAGCGACGATGATGTCGAAGTGATTTCTACGAGTGAACACATCTCTAAGCGAAATCGTCCAGATCCCGAAGAGAAAACCTGCAAGTATTTTATACATCTATAACTTCTTAAACTTCTTAGATGATGAAATTATGAACAGTTATTCATGAACAAGATCAATTTATTTTCTCTAGCTCATGAGGTTAACAAGCGTGCAAAACTGGCATCATCTTCCGAAATAAATGGAAATCAGCATCTTGACGGGAAAAAAGAAAAAGGAAGGGCAGAGGAGCCCGAGATCGAGGCCGAATCTACTAATAAACCTGAAAATGAAATTGATGCCAACATTTATTATGGCACATTATTTTTTAGAATGCAATTCCCAGAAGTCACCTCTGACGAGATGGCTAGGCGTAAATCGAGAGTTCGAAAACGGTTTCTCCATAATTTACATCTTCGAAAATTGCCAGTGCGCAAATAGATCAAAATGAGGAAATTTATTTGCTTACGTTTACAGTTGTAGAATCATTAAAATGCAGTCCAAGATATTTTTAGGAAATTCTAATTTTTATTTAACAAAATTCTGTAAGGTATTATTTCCATTCTTTAAAATAATAATTAATAAATAGTGCTAGAAAAGATGTTCCTATTCGCTTATCAATTATGTGAAACTCGTAGCTGACGAATGGAATAAATTTTGTTATAAATCTGATGTTGAGAAAATTTCAGGCCACGTGATGTGATTCTTCAAGATCAAAAAATTCGAGATTTTAAATGATTAAATGAATTATATGCAACAAGGTCACAATAGTCAAATAAATTGCGGAATGGGTAATCAAGAATCATTACCGAATCATGATAATTAAAATTATAATGATAACAAAAGCGCAGAATTAGATTAGTATGGACAGACGGATTATGGAAAACAACCAAAGTTTAATAAATTCCAGAATTAGTGAAGATCACCAAAATTAGTAATAATCAATCTTAACAATCAAAATAATCTTTGCAGCACAAACAAATTCAATAATTTTGTCATTACCAATAATATCGATAAATACAAACCAGAATACAATCTAGGAGTTAGAAGTTTAAAAATAATAATGATTACACCCTTACAATTATAAAAACCAAAACTTTAACTCTATAATTAATCAATTAATCCATTAATCTGGAAAATTTCCCTCAATAATTGTAATGATGGAAACTTCTAAAATACTTTTTATTTAATATTAAAAAATATATTTATTTAATAAATATTCATTATTTTTTCCATATCTTAGTATAATATGTACTGTCATATCAACTGAATCTAAATAAATACATGTAAATTAGAAATAAAATTCTTTATAAATTCAACTTGATTTATAATATTAAAAGAAGTAATTAATATAGTAATAGTATATAAATATAACTTTTAATAATATAATATTATATTAAATAACTTGTTTTTTTTATCAATATTATTCAGAAATATTAGAATTAGCAAGTTAATAAAATAAATTGAAAGTATTACTTTCAAGCTAGAAAATCTTACAATATTTAGTCAATCTAATAGTTATTTTAATAATAGAAATAATTTTATTAGATATAATGATTATAAAAGATTTAAACATATTATAAATTAATATAAAAATAGAAAAAATAATATTAATAATAATTAAAAGAATTCTATTATTTATTATAATTATGAAGAAATTAATTATATTACTAGTAAATATATTAGTTCAAGAAAAAATAATAATCATTAAAATAATAATAATAATCATAATAATAATAATAGAGAAATAATAATAATAATAAATAAATAAAATACTTACTTGAATATTAAAGAGTATTTAAATTTTTAAATGTATCTTTAGAAGATAAAAATATATTTATAATTAAAAAATCTTTAGTTAAAAATAAAAATAAATTTCTATCAATTTTATAATAAATTATTTAAATTAATTAATTAATATATTTATTCAAAATTATATTATTCTTTTAATAGAAAAATACTATTATTTAAAAAGTTATTATTCAAAATATATTACTTATAATTAACTTTACAGAATAATATATCTGTAATTTTAAATATTAAGATAATTCTTCTTATATTAATTATTAATACTATTAATATTTAAAAGTTAAAAAAATTATTTTAATTAAAAATTACTTAGAATAATATTAAAATTATTAATATAATTTAAAAAAATTATTATTATTATTAATATAAAAATAAAAAAGAATAAATTATAAAGATTATAAATTATATTTTATTAATAATAAAGATAAAAAATTTATTATTATTCTTATAAAAAAAGATAAAATAAAAATTACTCTATCATTATAAATTAATTTTTAAAAAAAAGAAATAATTCTATTTCTAGATGCAAAAAGAAAATAAAAAATTTCTTACTCTATTACTTATCTTAAATATTATTAAAATAAAAATAAGAAATTATCTTCTTAAGAATATATTAAGTTAAAAGAAGAGAAATTTTTTTCTTATTTTTTATAATATTTAAAAAGTTTAATATTATAAATTAAAATATATAAATTTAATCTTAATAGTTATAATTTGATTTTAGAAAATATCAGAACTAATTAATATTTAAAATATAAAGTTATTTAATTTACTAATTATTAGTTAGATAATTAAAAATAAAATATAAATATGAATAATTTATCTTTTATTTAAAAAATAAATAAGAATAATAATAAAATTATTAATAATTATAAATAAAATATGATAAATATTTCTTGAATATTAATTATTAGTTAAAATAATAATAATAAAGAAATAATAATATAATATTTATAACTTTTTTTTATATTCTCAGACTCTTGAAATTTTGAATTTTGAGAAAAGCAAAAAAGAAACTAATATTATTATTTTTTTGTAACAAAATTAAATTAGTTAATAATAATTATATTATATTTATCTTTTATCATGCAAATTATTACTGCATTACTTACTATGCCACATATGACTTACTGTATCATAATCACCTGATCATGCCAAGAAAAGTCATCTGATTTATTTGAGTTATTTTAGCTATAGATAGTTTCTTAGTAGAATTTCTTTTTTCTCTTGTT